ACTGCTATCCTTGTTGAATGTTTACTATTTGTCATTGTGAGTGCTAAAGGAAACACCAGTTTTAGAATAAAAGAAATGGTCAGAAACCCACATTTACCTCAAAAAGTCTCTGGGCAGATGCTTTAATCATTGTATCATAATCCATTTTTCTTACATTTCCCCTTCCTTCCTTCTTTCCTTCCTTCCTTCCTTCCTTCCTTCCTTCCTTCCTTCCTTCCTTCCTTCCTTCCTTCTGTTCCTTCTTACTTCCTTCTACAACTGTATATTGAACAACCATTACTGAACAAGAGCTGATGATGTGCATATGAAATGAGTAAGTTATGGACCTTCCCCAAAAGAATTCACTGAATAGTAATTGTACTGTGATTCTTCACTCTATCTGGAATAATGGTTACTCTTTGAAAGAATTCAAACATCTAATTATCTCCCTGGTAACAAAATCAACTTGGATCTTGTGATCTCTCACTTTGTACTCCAACATGCATGCGCGCGTACACACACACACACACACACATACACACACACTTAGGCAAACTATCAATGTTTCTCTTTTGGCTTCTCCATATCTCCATTCAGTTACCTTGGCAATCCCTCTCTCTGTCCCAGGCAACTAATACAGTCTTAATGATACCAGCTAACATTTATAGAGAGTTTGTGCTATGCGTGGCACAATGCCCCCCACCTGTTGCCACAGATGCTCTTCTTCCTGACAGAACCCTGTGCTCTGTATTCACCCGTTTAACACACTATGTTTTATGGCCTAATTACAAATGGCTATCCTATTAGCTCCCAGTTAACTGGAAGAAGAATTTTGCTAAAGTACTCGTGGCTGATAAGTTTGATTATTGAACACTGGCTCAGTGAAAATTGAGCCTTGCTGATAGGGGCTTTGGAAGAATCACCTCTCAAGACACAGCGAATGATGGAGCAAACTGTTGTTACCTTTCACTGCATGTGTACTAGTCACTTTATCTTACTTTGTACACATTTAGTTACTTTTAGATCTCTCAACAATTCTTTCAGTAGACACTCCACTGAACTCTGCTTTAGCTCACATCTTTATCTCCTCATGCCTGGGGTATCCTAATAACAACTAATATTTAACAATTGCTTACTAAATGCCAAACACTATGCTAGAGCAATGTAATCTTCATATAATCCTTTGAGATGAGTACTATTTTTGTTCCCATTTTACAGATGAGGGACTTGAGGCATGGTAAATAGAGTAAAAAAGCTAACAAGTAGCAGAGCCAGGACACAAACAGGAAATTTTGGATCCACATTTAATGATAAAACCATAGGCTTCTTTAGCTAGAAGGAGTACATAAAAACATAGTCCACAAAAATCTCTTCACTGAACAGCTTCTGTCTCCAATTTTTGTTTGAAGGATAAAGTCATCATAGCCCCAGGAAGAGAGTTCCTATGAAAAAAAAATAGCCAGCAAAGGTTCCTTGAAGTAAACAGGTGAATGTACCTCAGACAGGAAGATAAAACAGCAGTAAGTATTTCAGTCTCAGGGACATGACATACGCAAATGTAAATAGTGGAGAATGCCTCAGTTGTGTGGGGAAGGCAGAGAGAAAAACAAACTGCTGGAGCAAAAGTTTCTTTTCCACAAAGGGGAGTTGGATGTTTGACACAAAAAGCATGTTATGTCCAGGTTAGTGCAGTCTTGAATGCCAAGCTAAGAGGTTAGAACCTCAGGAGTAGGCCAGTGGTTTTCACACTGTGTTTCCTGAGGCCCTTGAAAGAAGGGAGGCTCTGGGTCTTCTCTCCTCACTTCAACTAAACATACCTACATTTTTTTAGGCCATGTTTACTATTATCTGCTTTTCATTTGGGAGTTTTAACTACCCAGTATTTTCCTTGACAAAGGTGTTCCCCAGCTAATTGGAAACCAAAGATCAAACAAACAAATGAACAACTTTAATAATTACTACTCCAGGAAATGGAAAGCCTGTTATGGTTTTTGACCAAAGGTATGACATGACAAGAATGGTGTTTCAGAAGTATAATTCTGCTAGTAGAATGTAGGGTTAACTAGAGGAGATGACAATAAGTAGGGAGGTCTGCTGGGACCTTGTTGTAACAGTTTAAGGTGACTATGTCAGTGGCAGTGGAAATTATTAGAAAAAGTATAGATGGCCACAACAGTCCCAAAGTTGTACATAGAGCATGGTCAATACACTTTGATAACTGGCAGGGTGTGAGGTTTCAGGAAGGATTCAAGGTGTTACATCTCTAAGAATGACATTTCAGATGATAAGGAAAATATCTGGGGTCTGAAAGCCCATTCCAATGTGCCTCAAACCATTCTATGTTGGGTGAGCAGCACTCCTGACTCCTGAAAAGAGAAAGGTGGCTTCTCTTTGTGGAAAAGAAATGAAACTGACACATTCATCTTTAAGTGTGAGTTGGGCAAAATAAGGAACTATTTTTCAGGACACTCAGAGACCAGTTACCAGATATTCCAGTCTGACAACAAGAAAATCCCTTGGTGATCCTAAAAAAAAAAAAAATGGTGAGAAACAAGCTTAGAGAAGAGAAATGTTCTTATAAGCCTGTACTGTGTGCACAGAGCAATAACTATTTTAGATTGAGCTCTAACAAATTGAGATTGGGAGCTACGGGGCAGCAACCAGATTTAATTCAATGGTCTCTAGAGCACCTAGCACATTGCTGGTGCTCAATCAGCGTTAAATTAACCATGGAAAGAAGCAAAGATGTGTATGCCTGGAGTAAAAGAGAAATTGGGTTAGGTCAAATGAGACTCAAGCAGAGGCCTAATGAGAAATGGAATTAAGATCTCATGTTACACCCCTCTTCCTTAAATTGAATGAACACTGAATAGATTATCCCAAATTCAAGGCTTAACCCTACTGTCAATTATGTATGTGACTTTGGACAAGTCATTTACCTCTAGAGGCCTAATTTTGTCTGTTGTCAAATGGGAGAGTGATTGCTGTTATACAAGGTTGCTGAAGAGTGGAATTAGACCATGAACATACTTTAAAAGGCATAAAGTATAATATATATGGCAAAGTATTTTGATACAGATCTTACATGTCTAGAAAATGGTATGTGAACAGAAATTTTTATAAATCAACCACATATTAACATCTTAACATTTTGTTATACAATTTTGAAAGAACCTTACAATGAAAATCCATGTCCCCACCATGTCCTTGATATTTAAAGGCACTATTCACCAATACTTATGCAAAAGATATCAGTAAAGCTAACTGATATTCCTCATTTTCTGTAATTTGTGCTTATCTTCCTATTCTGGACTCACTAGTCCCTTTTATTGTCTTGCAAAGGAATCTTTATCTGAGGTAGAAGCCAGAACATGTTTGCTGAGAACAAAATTTATTTTCTCTGTGCTACTCAAGGTTGAGCCTATGGTTTTCATGGCTAGAAAGGGCAGGAGAATAATTGGACCCAATCATTGAAGGAACAAATCTAAAGAATTTGGTCTAGTCTGATAAATTACAATTCACCTCTTCCTGGGATCCCACAAAAGAGAAGATAATATCTTTGGATACCTACTCTTTACAAAATTTTGTTTCAATTCATATCCTTTACTATGGGGCAATGCATTAATTACTGAAAAGACAAATGAAATGTGCTCAACAGATGAACAATAAACTTTTTGATAATAAAAGGTGGAATTAATAATGCTCTTTATGAATACCAGCCAAGCAACCTTGCCTTAGGTAAAGTAAAACTCATTGACCAGCAACATTCTCACCAACACTGGTAAATATGCCCAGAAGAATGAGGCTGCTGCCCTACTTCAGGGGAATGACCACAAAGTTGTAAACAACCTGAATGCTCATCGACAGATAAATGGCTGAATAAATCCTGGTATATTCATATTACACAGTCATTTGAAAGAATGAGCCAGATTTGTAACTACTGATATCCTGGGAAGTCTGTTATGTACTCTTTTTTAAAAATTTTATTGATTTTAGAGAGGAAAGAAGAGAGAGAGAGAGAGAGAGAGAGAGAGAGAGAGAAGGGAAACATTGATACAAGAGAGATATATCCATCAGTTGCCTCCCACACACGCCCTGACTGGGGATTAAACCTGCAACCTTGGCATGTGCCCTCACCAGGAATCAAACCAGTGACCTTCCAATGCATGAGAAGACACTCCAACCAATACACACTGGCCATGATTGTGATGTACTCTTAAGTGCAAAAGCCAAGCTGCAGGGAAATGTATATATCACAATCCCATTCTAGTACAAACAGCAGAATACCCTATAGATGTGCTCCATGTCTGCACATATTTACATATGCACAGGAAGGTTGTGGGAGGATTCCGACCCAGGCTGTTACTATTGCTTACTCTTCAGAGAGGGAAAGGATAGAGGAGTGCATTGCCCATGCATTATTTCACTGATGACACTGAACATGTGCAATATTTATCATTTCTGAAAGTTTACTAATCCTTTAATATAGTTTTTAAAAATTTATCTTTATTGTTGAAAGTAATACAGATGCCCCCCTTTTTTCTGCATTGACTCCTTCCAAGTGCCCATCAGTAGATGAGTGGATAAAAAAGCTGTGGTATATTTACACCATGGAATACTATGCAGTTATAAAAAAGAAGGATGTCTTACCCTTTGTTACAGCATGGATGGACCTGGAGAGTATTATGCTAAGTGAAATAAACCAGTCAGAGAAAGAGAAAGACAAATATCACATGATCTCACCCACATGTGGAATCTAATGAACAAAATAAACTGGCAAACAAAATAGATCCAGAGACATAGATACATGGTACAGATGGACAGATCTCAGAGGGAACAGGGAGGATGCAGAAAGAAAGTAATCTCTAATATAGTTTTACATGGGACTTAGAAGACTGCTCCTATCTGCTGCTTCCTTGGCTTTTCTGTTCCCCTGTCCATCAAGTCTGCATTGAGGGATAATTAATACTATTTCTTGCTCAGAGACTCTTGCCTGCTTTGCTGCTAAAACAGTTACATACCAGAGCGTTGAAGGGTAAAGGGTGGTAGGACAAGTAGGCCTTTAACTAGGCTTCATCCCCTTGCCACTTCTCAGCATTCCTGGAAAACATAAAAAACCTACATGGGGGGTCAGACATGGCTGTGTACCTAAGCTACCCCTGTCTGAACAAGAGGCAGCTGTGTTTCAAAAATCACACCTTCATTTCAAGGAACTGGAAACTTGGCAAACCATGTGGTGGAGGAGCCCCAACTGCCTAAACTGCCTGCCACCTGCTGTTGCCTCTCTCTCCTTTTGCATTCTGCCTTTCCCCCAAGAATAACGACCCAAATCACAAAAAGGGTCACCATCTTTCAAGCACCCACTATGAGGCAGGTACTGGCACTGTGCAAGGCATTTTCAAACATTTCATCCCAAGTTAATTTGTGTCACACCTTTGTAATAGGTAGTTTGAGATTTTGCAAAAATGGAATAGGCTGAAGACATCTTAGAAGGCTTTCACTGGGTTCATTTAATTCCCTGGTGTACCAAAGGCTAAAAATTTCTGCAGTGCTATTCCAAATACACTTGATGAAAGACACAGATATAGAGTTCAGAGAAGTTGGCTAGAGCTTAAATATTCACACAGTCATGAAGAGCAGAAATAGTAATGGTTTGTCCAGGATTTGACTTAGCCAGAGAAATGTGTAGCTTACCTGGGTTATTACAGAGCACCCAAGGAGCTCTTGTTCCCCAACATGAAACACAATTCCAGAAAGCCATTATTCATGATATCGACTCCTGACATTGGCATAGCACTTTACATTTTGCAAAATTTTTCTCTGTGTGGTTTTATATCTTATATTCACAAATCTGAGGGAGATAAGACTAGAAAATTGTTCCAATTATATAGATGAAAAAACATCTATGGAAAACATCTCTATTCAAGGGTTTAGATGACCTGCCAAAGTCATAAAGCTAGGAAGTTCATAAGCCAGGACTAAAATCCATAAATCCATGTGTCAAATGAAGGAAGCTAGTGTATATGGTTGCTACACACTTTTTGTTCTTGTTCAACCAACTAATTTACACTTGTGATGGTATTATGGGGGGCATAGTATTTCTTAGTGGTATAAAACATGGGTTTTGTTACTTACTCACTATGTGGCCTAGACAAGTCACTGGCCAGCTCTATGCTCCAATTTCTTCATATAGAAAGTTAAATAATAATAATTCCTACCTTCTAGAGTCATTGCAAGAACTCTCCTATGATATAACTCATATAAAGCATTTAGTAAAATGCTTGGCACCTGGGAAGAATTCAGTTCCTATAAACTATTCTTCTTATATTTTAAAATACTCAAGATGTGGCTTTTGCTTCACAAGTAGAAATAGAAAGTAGATCTTTTATGAGGCTGTGGAGCCTACCAAGGTTATTTTGTAATAGGTGCTTTAATAAGAAGCAAATTTATTCAGAACCATGAGGAGCCCAAAGGTGGAAGATGCGATATCAAAGGGGACTGCAACTCTCAGAGACCATAATTGGTAATAATTTCTTTCATATGGCCTGTTGTCCCTGGGGCCACCAGAAAGCTAAGCAACATTGGGCAGCTGACATTGTGCTGTGCCTGCTTTTAGCCATGGCAAGAAGTAGCTTTGCCAGCCCCAATCCACACTCTGCCAGTGCCACTCTTGAGGCCTACCATCTTTTCTGTGGATCAACATCCTCACTCTCCCAAAACATATAAGTCAGTCAGACACACTTATCCCCATTGACACATAGAGCAGGAGCATGGCAAGAAATGGTGCAATTGGAAAGTGGAGAGGGAAGAACAAAGTGGGGATGGGGATAGGTACAGAGCAGTGACTGGAGGAGTGACAGAAGTGAATGACCTCTGCCTTCCTCTGGATACGGCCAGCTTAAAGGGGTAGTCAAATGGATTGTCTTCCTTTTCTTGAGTTGTATGAGTTGTTGAGTTGTAAATTAACCCCTTACCAGATGTATCATTAACAAATATGTTCCCCCATACAGTGGGTTCCTTTTTAATTTTGAGGATGGTTTCTTTTGCTGTACAGTTTTTTAGTTTGATGTAGTCCCATCTGTTTATTTTTTTTTTAAATGAGCAAAAAAACTAAATAGACTCTTCTCTAAAGAGCACATACAGATAGCCAAGAGACATATGAAAAAATGCTCAAAGTCACTAATCATCAGAGAGATGCAAACTAAAACGACACTGAAGTATCACCTCACACCTTCCAGAATGGTTACCATCCACAAATCAACAAATGACAAGTGATGGTGAGGATGTGGAGAAAAGGGAACCCTAGTACACTGCTGGTAGGAATGCAGACTGGTGCAGCCACTGTGGAAAACAGTGTGGCATTTCCTCAAAAAATTAAAAATGGAACTGCCATTTGACCCGGTAATCCCACTTCTAGGAATATATCCTAAGAATCTCAAAACACCAATCAGAAAGAATATAGGCACCCCTATGTTCATAGCAGCTCAATTTACAATAGCTAAGATCTAGAAACAGCCCAGTAGATGAGTGGGCAAAAAAGATGTGGTACATTTACACAATGGAATACTATGCAACTGCAAAAATGAAGGATCTATTACCCTTTGAGACAGCATGGAGGAACCTGAAGAGTATTATGCTAAGAGAAATAAGCCAGTCAGAGAAAGACAAGTATCACATGATCTCATTTATACGTAGAATCTAATGAACATAATAAACTAACGAACAAAATGGGTTCAGAAGCATGGATGCATAGAACAGACTGACAGACCTCAGATGAGAGGGGGACTGGGAAATGGGAAGAGATTAACCAAAGTACTTATATGAGTATATGCATTGTCCATGGACACACAGACAATAGTGTGGTGAAGGCCAGGGGTGGGGCAAGAACCAGGTAGAGAGGGGCAATGAGGAAAAAATAAGGGGGGGGGGGACATCTGTAGTATTCTCAACAATAAAAAATGTAAATAAATAAATAAAGGGGTAGTCAATTCTAGAGAATGCGCAACATTGTGATTGGACTAAATGCCATTGAATTATTCACTTTAAAGTGGTTAATAGTATGTTATATGAATTTTACCTCAATATTAAAAAGAACTCAAAAGATTAGAGTACCATGGTCCCAGAGAGAAGTTTATGTAGACACTGCCCTTGCCTGGGGTTCAAAGAGTTCCTTATGGGCAATGAATGACCACTTGTGTATCTTCTGTCACCTGTCTTCTTGATGCCCACTTGTGTGCTGGTGGTGGTTTTGTGTGTGTGTGTGTGTGTGTGTGTGTGTGTGTGTGTGTAAGGGGGGGGAGAGATTCTTCAGAGTAACTCCTGTGACCCTTGACTAGTTAATTTTCTCAAATAGTAACAGTCCTTATTAAGCTCTTACTATGTGTGCAGCTTTAATCCTTATAGCAAACCCCAGAGGTAAGAATTATTACACCCGTATTACAGATGAGAGAATGGAGACTCAAGATCCAGGAGTTGCTAAGAAGTCACTCAGTAAGTGAAGTGGACATGCTAAAACTTAAACCTAGAAGTGAAGTCAGCTGATGGCTGTACTTGCTGCATAGTGCTCTCTGCTTCAGGCACCAAACACATACTCTCTGCCAAGTGCCATGGGGACACCAAAATGGCATAAAATACATGACCTTCAAAGAAATAATAATGCAGATCAGGGAGGGTTTACTGCAGAAGAGTGCAAAGGACCATTTTAAATATTGCTTGACTGCTGAGTAAATCTATTCATAATAAGAAGGAACTCAGAGAAGAGCTGATAGTAATAGTAACCACAACAATTCACATTCGCTGAGCACTGTTCTATGTGCCTGATGCACACTTGATATTCCTGAACTTATTTATTCTTTACATCAATCCTGTAGTTTATGTACTAGTACCAGCCTCTTTTAAGAGGCTCAGAGAGGTAAAACAAAGTAACTTGTCCAAGGTTGCACAATTAGCAACAAGGGGTAGACTACGTTTTAACTATTCTTTGTCTATGCATAGAAGAATCTCAATAAATACCCATCAAATGAATAACTATCTTCCACCTATTGAGCACTTGCTATGCACTCCATCTCATTTAATGCTCAGAATCCCATGAATTGAGTGCTGTTATTTGCCCCATTTTACAGGTAAGGAACCTAATGCTCAGAGATGCTAAGTAACTTGCCCAAGTTCACACAGCTATTAAGTGGCAAAAATATGATCCAAAATCACCCAGATCTGCCAACTTGCAGCTTCTAGGCCCTTTTCTGGATCTGCATGCTTATTAAAGCTCAGCTGCTTCCTTTTGTGAATGTATGTCATTTGGCCTTGATTTGGACCATAAACAAGGGAGATAAAAATAACAGGCTATCCTCTTATTCAATGCATGGAAAACATGATCACAGCATGCAGGCAGAGGGAAAGGGAGCTACCATGGGGGAGAGAGTGGGGAGAGGACTGGAAAATTCTGATGGAAGCAGGACCTATTCTCCGTGTGTGTGCCCACCAGGGGAGAGACATTTTGGCTCCTCTTACAGCAGAAGCAACAAACTCGAAGCATGACACACCAGCACAAAATGGGAATTTTCTTTGGAAATCTGTTTCTAATAAACGAGCCCCCATGCTAGAAGGGCCAGCTCGACTCAGGAAGAATTATGTTGCTCTGTGCAAGGGCCTCAGCTCAGCGCCAATTGCCACCCACCAGGAAGAGCTGAACTTCTCCTGTGACCTGTATCATGGGCTTGCTTTAAAAAAACACACACAACTGCTTCATACCGCCTTGCATTTGCTTTGTAAGCCTTTGATTATGCTTGTTCTGTTGGGTGCTCTGTTCTTTGGATCATAGTAGCTTTCATAAGGCCATATCATGTGGTTCACAGGGAGTTGCCATAGTCAAAGGGTCAAGATGATCGGCTGCCAATCCATGGAGCTCTGCATGCCCACGCTACTTCACTTAGAAAATTTCTACTACATTGCTAAGCCCAGAGTATGTGGTTCCAAAACATTTGTTGATTGATTGACTGAGAGATTTATGGTGGGTTAAGTCAGTCCTAGAACTTTGCTACTCCCAAGTGTGGCCTGTGGACCAGTGGCTTTGGCATCACTAATGAGTCTATTAAAAATGG